TCATCACCGCCACCGTCGCCACCACCACCGCCGCCACCACCACGATCTCCACCTTCTTCACCACCATCAACACCATCACCCCTCTCTGGAGCCAAGTGCGTCCAGATCTCTAGACCTTCTGCTTCTACACGTCTTAGACAGGTAAACACGCAACCTGAACGATCACATTACTCATTTTTTGCGGCCATTTCCCATTTTCATGGCCATACAGCCCCTCATGTTGAAATTTGTGTTTCTCACGCTTTTCACGGCCGTATCCTTGTCTTCACGGCCATATTTTCTTTTCATGGCCATTGGATCAAAAGAAGGCCAACTGGGCAAAACGACCACCGGCCTCGAAAACTGTGATCAGAAGCACCTACAAATATGAGCAGGTTGGCGGGTTCGCGGGGTGCGGGGTTCGCTGGGTGCGCGGTGCTACTGCTGCTGCTGGGTGCTGCTGTTGCTGCTGCTGATGCTGGTGGCTGCTGCTCCTGCTGGCGGCTGCTGCTGCTAGTTGCTATTGCAGCTGCTGCTTTTCTGTTGCTGCCGCAGCTGTCGCTGCTGCTGGGTGCTGCTGCTGTACTGGTGGCTGCTGCTTGCTGGGCAACAGATCTTGTGCTGCTGAGGGACAGACTTCATCAAACATGAATGTCAGAAGTCATGTGAGCGACAGCATGACAAATCAAAAGAAGCGTCGCGAATCAAATCAGTACGCATAAATTTTTGGTTTGTCCTGACCCAACTGCGCGTTGACATTGATGGTTGCGCAGAGTTTTGACGCCAGCGATATGCCCAGGCTCAAAGAGCAGAGCTGCAAAAAGAGCTTAACTCGAGAAAAACACAGGCATTTGGGGCCTTTGAGGCTGCAGGTTTGCTTTCAGAGGTGTTTTCCTGCGTCGGGCAGTGCTCCTACAAAGCTGCGCTTGTTGGCTGGTTGAATACGCCACCAGAGCTTCTGTGCTATGTGAGAACAGGGGCCCTGAGCCCCACTCCAGGCAAAAAAGAAAGAGCGCTCTTTGATGCAGGAGACGGAGGCGCAAAAGCCAAACAGATTTCCTTTGAGGCATGCTAATCAGCTAATCTGTGATTTTTGTGGGGACTTTGGGGATGGACATCCCGTACAAATCCCCATGCAACAGGGAAGAACTAGACATGTCTTTCACTTCTTACCATCGAGTTTTGGACCGTTGCTTTGCTTTCAACCCCCTATCGGTTCTGCCTTTACAGCTAGCTCCACAGCCGCAGAGCTCCAGGCAATCAGAGCAGAGCTCAAACGTGTCAAGGATAAGGCAGACCAATGATTTCAGAGAGCGCAACGAAAACACGAATCAACATAATTTTGCAGTGATGTCGACTTCTCATTAGTAAACACGGTGGTTCCATTTCAAAACCTTGGCTACCCTAAATAGAGCTCCAATTCAAAGGAGGATGGACATGAAAGAAATCTGAATTGGAAGAGGTTCTTGGAATTGAGATGAAGGGAATTAGTTACAATTGAATAGAACTAAATTCAGAATAAATGAGACTTCGTACCAAAATAGAATTGAATTTAGATCTATCTAGAATTGGAATAGTTCTAACGACTTCTCGCAAACACTTCAGAGAGCTGAAGTCTATGCTTCGCAGCCCATTTGGCCGTCACTGTTCTCAGAGGAGGCGAAGCCCTTGCGCACCATGGCTGTCTTCACGGAGGCATTCTGGACGTTGTAGCCATGCATCTTGCGCTCTTCGTCGTCAAGGATGCCTAAGGCATGCGTCGTCTCGCGATAGCCGTTCTTCCCCATCTGCTCCATTGGTGCTTGGGAGGCCTCCTCTCCGTCAAAAGCTGTCTTCTCGCTGAGACTCTTCGAATTCTCAAACCGCTTGTTCTTGCGAGGGGCAAGTAGCTGGCCGTCTGCTTTAGCCATGCCCTTCGCCAAGTCCTTCTGGCGTTCATGAGACTCCCACAAGCAGCCATGGAAAGCGTCTGAGTTCCGCCTGCCGAAGTGCTTCACGACGTCCAGGTCCTTCGTGGTCTGGTACATAGCCGTGGCGCCACCGATGCGAAGGCTGTGGGATCCATACCTAGTCGTAGATTGTCCATCTGCAACGGCTGCAAGTTGAATCAAGCCCTGGATGTCAGTCCTCTGTAGGGGCTTGCCCTTCTCCAACCTGAACAAAGGCTGATCCGCTCCAGCCCCTGCAAAACGTTCAGGTTTCATAGCTTGGTATTCAGCCAAGGCCGTCACCACACAAAGCTCATTTCCACTCTTGAACTGGTTGCGGACCGTGCCCTGGTTGTACTGGTCGGTCTTCGAGCCCTTGAGGTAGATCACGATCTCCTCCGCCTGGTAGAAGTTCATGACCTGGCGGTTGTCCTTTCGTGCTTCAATATCATTGCCCTTCAATGTCCTCGAGGTCTCCCATGAGCGTCCAAGCGTCACCAGGAACTCCGAGGCACGCAGCAGGAAGAAGAATCCCACCATGATTGCCGCCCAAAAGATCACCTGGTCGACCCTGCTTAGGGTTTCACTGGTGTTCAAGTGCCTCTTGATCCAGAGAAGCATTGCTGGCAGCACCGGGTACTTCCGCTTGGTCTCAGGTTGCCACCGTTTGTAACCATTGAGAGCTGCCCAAATTCGAACTTTGTGCTGGGTAGGATCATCATGCCCTGCGACCAGGTGGCCCATCTTGATGGCAAAGAGCCTCTGCTTGATGGTCCCCTCTGTCCTACCCATGACGTGCGCAAGGCAGGTCATGAAGCGCAGAAGTTCATCTTCGCCAAACTTGCGTTCCTCTTTGCTCTCGCCGGTGAGGTAGACGTCCTTCTTCCCCATTCGGCGCCACAGACACCATTGCTTCCAACCAACCTCGTAGCCAGCACGTGTCCCCTCCAAGAGCTTGGACATGACAGCCTCTGCGGCCAAGGCGTCGAGCCAGGCTTGATCTCGACGCAGCTCTCGATTTGCATCAAGTCGAAGGCGTTCACGACCACGACCGATTGCACTGGTCTTCTGAGATGCTAGCCACTTCTCATAGCTAGGCCTAGGGTTCCGGTTGTCACCCTGCCAAGCACGCATCCAAGCACGAACTTGTTCATCAGCGCTGACTCAGGGTCTTGGCAGACTCCCACCTTCTTCGTCTCTGGGGCCTCAGCTGCTTCTTGGCGCCAGCGCTCTGTCATACCATGCCAGGAGGCGATGGGCACTCTGCTGCGGGAATTCATGGCTGCATCCTTCTTGAAGAAGTCTTCCTTTGCGCCCGCTTCACGAAGCAGGTGCAGCTCTTCAAGGCGACCTCCCGCCACTTCACCTCGGTGGTCCAGGACAACCAAAGACCGGCCTTTCCTGCATGTCAAAGCCGGACCTGTGATGTCATAGAGGAGCTCCTTCGCGCCCTTCTCCTTGTAAGTGTCCAGCTGGCCAAGGAAGCATGCGATCGCCCGAAGTAGAAATCTTGTTGTTCAGCGTGACCTCAACGCCACTTCCAAGCCAATCCTGCTTCACTGCTCCGGCGGCTGAATCCAAGGTGCGTTGGATGCTCGACGGCTCTGCTGCACTCCGGGGGGCCAGGTTTGGCAACGGCCCCTCAGCTCCAGTTGATCTCAGGTGCGCCAGGATGATGATCTTGCGCTTGGCCACTAGGTCACGATAGAGCGTGGTCAAGCGCTCGTAGTCCTTCACCACATAGCCGAGTTTCCTGCGACGGAGGGGCCTTCTCTTGCCATGTCGATCAAGATATTCAGGGGGCGATGCTCCTTAATGAAGTTCTTGACGTAGGTGCGCGTTCCGCCCCAGCTATCTTCTGCGATTGATGCAAAGGCCCAAGTCAAGTCCTCCTCCGACGTCAAGTAGTCCGTGTCCTTCAGCTTCGAGTCGACTGTGATTGGCTGGCATACGACGCACGCGGCCTCCCAAGCGCGCCCATGCAATCGCCCGGCAGGCGTCCCTTACCCAACTCAATCGCGCTCCCTTTTTGCCACGACGGGACGATATAAGGTCCGGCGGTGTGCCCAGGATCCTGCGACAGCGTTCCCACTGCCGCTCCTCCTGGCCATCTGAAGATGCCCTTCATGGATTCCTCGATGTAGGTCTCCCACTTCTCCTGGACCTTGACCTTCAGCCAACCCTCAAGCTTCAGCTTGTCCTCCACAACCTTCCTATAGTCTCCCGACTCAGCCAATCCGCAGTGAAGTGATGCCGCCGTACCTCCAGCGCCCCCAACACCTGTAGGATGTGCCTGGCCACTGCGCATCGCGACTCATGAAGCACTCTCCGCGGCCGCAAGCCCCACGAAGCACAATAGTAGCTCTGCTAAGACCCAGCGCCCGAAGCATCGCAATGGCACCCTCCCGCATGTAGCGCTTGCTCTTCCAACCCAGTGCTCATGCTACTTCGGGCGTTGCATCGCCTCCTACCCAGCAAAGTCTGCTGCTCATGCCAGGCAGTGCAAGGAGCTCACGGGTGGAGAGCATGCTCTCCATGGACGACTCGAAGGTGCCCTCATACGGAGTCTCAAACCAAAGCCGAAGAAGCGCCAAAGTCTCATCCCAGCATCGCCAAGCTGTCTCCACGGTCTCGCTCCGTTCGAAGAGGCGGGATGGTGATAGCTGCATATTGACTCAGTCCGCGAAGCTCTTGTGCCACCTTCAAACGTACTTGGCGTACGCCATACTGCAACTCGGGCAGGGCCAGCAAGTAGCGCATCTTCAAAACCTTAGGCTCAGGCAACCTGCTCGTCATGCTCTCCACATTCATATAGAGGCCCCAGACAAGCTGCTGGGTTGCTGGCGTTCCCTCGGAAACCTGTTTTTCGAGGCCGCTTTGCCCCAAATCTTCTCAACGGAATGGCCCAAAGCATCCACTGCCTGCCAGGGTCGCACCCCCAGCAGCGGCTCAACAACCACGCTGTCATCCATCAACCATTCAGAGGAGAACGGCGTCGGTCCATTGATGTTCTCCTTCTCCGGCTTGGAGCTCTCGTGATAGGCGCAAAGGCCATGTACTCTCCAGGTGCACCGCACCACCCAAACGGGAGACCCCCGTAAACCAGTTTCACGCGCCGGTATAGCGCGCTGCCGAAGTCTGCCGTGTCCTCGGGCGCCACGTCATGCCATTTGAAGGCTCTGCTCACATCTAGCTTGGCAATCAGACAACGAGCTTGTGGGTTTACGCGCTCTCCACCAGATAGCCTTGCGAGTGATCTGCCGGTGCCGTGGTTGAACTGCTGGGGGATGCTGGTACTTGTGGGTGGCGGCATTGGCTATCATCATAGCGTGGATTGGCCGCCCCTCTGCGCTGATGCTACGGTCTGGAAGCTGCTTCGGGACGCGACCTTGCGGGCATTCAATGAGGTTGCCAGTATATGGCTCTCCGTTGCATCGGACGCGAACAGCACGATTCCCCAATGGCCATCCTTCCAGGCTTTCTGGTACATCTCTTCGAGGTGCTCGATTGTCGATCGCCTTGTCCTTGTTGGCTGAGGTAGTTGGCGTGCTCGGGTTCCAAGCGTCTCAAAACCTCCGTGGATGTAGCGCCGACAGTGGGAACTCCGATCACTTGCCGCCGTGCTTCCCTCATGCAGGCTTCTCATGGCCTCCTCAAGTGTTCCAGCTGTCCTCAAAAGGTCATCTCCAAGCTCAACGGCACGCTTGATCACCTGGGCTCGTACTTTGGATGATCTCTGCAATGGTGCGCATACTTGAGGGCCTTGTTTAACACCTCCTGATCCACTGCCTGGCCTCTTTCCATGCCTTGGCACTCTCCAATGAAGTTCTCAGGCCTGGTTGGCTCTCGCATGATCCAACTGCTCGCCTCCACCTCTTCGGCGTCAAGCAAACATGATGCAGACAAGTAGCCCACCCTTCGGTTGGCTGCCTCATCATCCTTCTCAGGCTCTTGCCCTCGTGACCGTGACCTCGATCTCCGCCTCCTGTCAGTCGAACCACTCGGCTGCTCGCCCGCGGTCTCGGCCCCATCTTCACCCTCAATGCGCGCCCCATTCCAAGGAACCCAAACGCCACCCCCAGGATAGTACCGCCTTGCGGCCTCCAGTTGCTCCTGCGTTGGGTGAGGGAATTCACGAGGTGAGCGGAAGGCTGTCCTGTATAGTCCCGTCCTTCTGGGTAAGTGGGCTGCTGCTCAACATCTGCCTCTTGAGTATAGGATCGCCTTCTTCTTGTCCATGTCCAAAGTGCGGTCCAAGCTCAGGCCTGATCAGTGGGTCATAGAGTCAGAGGTAGAAGGTGGTGGACTCAGCATACTCCGCGTCGATCGAGTCCGGGTGTCACGAAGCCTTGCCAGATCCACCCTCCAATTGTCCAGGAACACCCGCTCGTGCGGGAGGATCTCCGACAAGTCCCTTCGCTGTGGGTACATCCAGGTCCTGCGGTCGTTTGTGATGAGGTGATCGGAATTTGGGCAGTCAACCCAGTCGCCGTAGTGCGAGCCAAATAGGGTCCTGCGAAGCATCACATGGTGGCGAACAAGGAACAGATTGTCTTCTATTGAAGGTCCCACCAATCTTCTGAGTGTCCGTCAAGCCCTTCGAGGGGTCGCGGCGGTCCAAAGACATTGATGCCTCCTTCATAGGGGCGTACTGGTGCTGCTACCTCTCCTGGGTTGATTTCCTGTGGGGTGAGTCGGGCCATGATCCTGGCCTCATCCCTTGGATTCATGCGTCTGTCCTCATCACTGGTGGCCTCCTCCTCTTCTTCTTGCTCGCCCTCCTGCTCCGCCGGGTCCGGCGGGATGGGAATGCCATGACGGAACTTGCTTTCCCCAATGCTGCCGCAATGATGACCACGAAGAAGCCCAAATCCCTCGTTCACCTCTGCACTGCCACAATCGTTCAGGTAGTGCCGAATCGGAAGAATGTAGGGGTTCAGGTTGCTGATGACTTGCGTTATGACTTGCACCTGCTCTGTGTGGGATACCCCCTTCTCGGCCATCACTGTTCTGAATCACTTCCAGCGCCTGGGCCACTTGAATAGTGTCCCAACCTGCGAAAGCAGCTTGCCAATGCCCAACCTTTGCATAGCCTCGCGGGGTACACCTGTACGAGGAACTCCAGGCAGGTCGGACTCGCCCTTGACATCCATGTGTCGGTGACGTCCTTGGCAGCGACGAGAAAGGAGCAAGGCATGTAAGTAGAGGCCAGGGGAAACAAGATTCCACTAGCCTTGTGAGTTTAGATGTAGCCAAGAGGACTGGTTTAAACATTTATTTTTTCATGATTTTTTATGTTTTCAATATGTTTCTATTTATGTTTTTACAAAGTGGTGTTTTTTGGTTTATGATATTTTTATGATTTTTAATGTTCTCTTTTATGTTTTATTTTATGTTTTTCATATGTTTTGTTGAAGTGCCCTTTTCATGTCTTCCCTTTTGCGTTTGTGTTTTTCTTGCTATCTTTCGGCAAATTCACCAATCGTTTTTGGCCTGTGGTTGAAGGTCCGTTCAAGGTTCTTGGTTTGCGAGCCAAATAAATATCAAGTATGTAGAAGGCCTGCAAAGTTTCATGTCCGTGATGTGATTGATAAGGGCTAGTGTAGCCCAGGACTCGCGAGGGCCAAAGATTGAAAAAACGGAGACGCTAACAATTAACGACTGAACTGATAGGATTCTAAATCTCAGACGTGCAAAGTGTCACGTGGCCTTGGGCCAAGGGCAAGGTTGCGCGGCGTTACTCGCAGCTACGTTGGTATAAGCCACCAGGCATTTAGCAAATAGATGCAAGGGAATATCAATGGCAAGTTCTATGCTGGAGACACGGTGCAAAAAACCAAGCAGTGCGCAAGGTTTAAAGTGTTTGACGCCTTTAAGCCTTTAAGTAAGAAGGTTTCAGTTTATGCTGATTCCCTCAAGCCTGTGAAGGCTGTGCCGTACTCAGGGCCACAGGGAAGGAAAGGAACAGGTCTTAGCGTTTGCTCCTCTGGCTAGCTCTAGGTGACCTCCCACGTGCCTGGGACTTCGGACGTGCCAGCTCTCCAGGGGCCACTGCGCAACCTGCAGACCTAGCCGCCGCCTTCCCAGCCACCGCGCTGCGTCCTACCCCAGCCGCGGAGGCGCGCCGCGCGGAATCATCAAAAACATATAAAAAAGCATAAATATAACATAAAAAATCATAAAAAAATAATAACAATCATTGATATCAAAAACATAAAAAGCAAAAAAAATAAAAATCTCCGAACCAGGCACATTTTCAATTTTTTTAATGATTTATTTATGATTTTTTATGTTTTCAATATGTTTCCATTTATGATTTTTTTATGTTTTTTTTTAAGATTCCGCGCGGCGCGTCTCCGCAGGTGTGGGTAGGACGCGGCGCGGTGGCTGGGAAGGTAGCGGCGAGGTCTGTAGGTTGCGCAGTGGCCCCTCGAGAGCTGCCGCGTCCAAAGTGTAGAGGCAGGTGGGAGGTCACCTAGAGCTGGCCAGGGCAGCAAACGCCAAGTCTGCCGGCCTGTGGCCGGCCCTGTGACGCTGAGGAAGGGGCCTTTCATGTTATGAATTTTGCCATGTGTGCACGCGCGGCAGAGAGAAGCTTAGTCGTGTTCCTGGTCATGGTCAGTGCCTTGTTTGTTGGTTTGCGTGCCTGCCTGCTGGTTTTACTGGGAGCGGTCATTTCTACGTCTAGGCAGAAGTCTGGCTTTTTACGACGCAGTCAAAAGTGCCTTGGTTTGCGTTGCTAGAGCCTAAAGCCCGAGCCTTGCCTCAAGCTTTACCGGCCGTACCCACACCGTTCACATAGGACGCAAAGTGCGCTAGGTTAGCGTGATTGACATATATCCAGGGCCTGTATTCGGATTGCAGGCAAATTTTGACTGCTGGGAGAGGGTTTGCATAGTTTCTTTTGCAGAGTGAGTTATTTCATTTATATACTTGGCTGGAAACCAATACTTTGCAAACCTATTTTTTCAACACAAGAACAATAGGACAGAAACAGAAACCCTGAAGAGGCAATGACATTTAAGCATCAAGGAAATTTGATGAAAAACAGTGTACTTTATTAAGAAACATAAAAAACATATAACAAAACTGCCAAAAAACAAAAACATAAATTAAAACATAGGGAAATCTTAAAAAACAATCATAAAAAATAAATCACTTAAACGGCCTTGTGGCTCACATTTAGACTCACAACACTAGCCCTTTTTGTATCTCATCTCGGGCTTGTCGGTGGGTGCTGAGCCCCATTCGCGCAAGTGAGTGGGTACGATGAGTGCTCCTGTGGATTGTTGAAGGCGCTGGACAGCAGGCTGATCCCAAATCTTGGGATATCTTCCTGAAGGCATCGAGGATTCCAGGATGAACTCCTTGTCGTGATCGTAGAGGGACTCGCGCGTGCGGCAGGTGAGGTCACAAAAGTAGTTATACCTTCCTGCTCACTCGCTGGCGAGCTGAAGCTGCGAGTCCCGCCGGTGAGGATGTTGAAGTCGCAATAGCTGGTGCACGGCGCGCCGAATTCCCAGACATTCGCGGCGCATGGACCTGGAAGCTCCATTGTTGCCTGCAAGATCCTGCAAGTAGAAGCTTGCCCCCTTCTCATCCTTCAGGTCGAAGTGGTCACGTCGGCCCCGTTTTTGCAACGGGTCACTGAACAGCTCGATGGGCTCGTTAGAGGCCAAGCCTGCTTCCTCCATTGCCTTGGTCCATGACCCCGAACCTACGAAAACCTCCTGCGCTCTGATGCCATAAGCGAAAGCCGGCCTGTGTTTCAATGGTGAATGGGTCCCCATCAAGATCAGCTCCTGTGTGTCAACCGGATGCTCATTGAAGCTCCAGGGCACCTGAAATGGTGCCTTCCCTTGCTTTGGATGGTTGTCCTGACAGCGTGGGCATCTGGGTCTCTTCCCTGGTACGAGTGCAGCTGGGTCTTCGTTGGCGAGGAATTCACGCCAACCCTCACATGGCCATTCGCGATCTGATTGCCCGTTCAGTGTCAACTGTGCCGCCACCGCCACCTTCACCGGCTCCTCCTTCTCGTTGGGCACAACAATCTGATGTGACCTCCATGGATCAGGAACGGGATGATGCGGTTCTGGCTACCTGGTGTGCTCCCCACGAGGTGGTCCACGTGAACATGTCCTCAACAATTCAACCTCCAACACTGCAACCTCCGTCAGGTCCTTCAGAGCGAACGCTTGGAACAGCCGGTAGTCCTTGTCGTGGTGCGCACGCAGGCAGTCACGTAGCCTCGAACCTTTGCTTTACGAGCTCCTATCCAGGGTGCCGGATCTCCAGGCTCGCCCGAGTGCGCTAGCGAGCTCATCCGGTACTGGCAGCCTGTCCTTATAGTCCAAGTAGCGCCAACAGCGTCGTTCTGCGCCGCACTGAAACTCGAATCTTCCCTCGCCGTAGCCCTTCTCCTTGTGCCACACAGTCGGACTGACCCATGCCTGGCGCTCCTCGTTGATCCACCCCACTGAACGCTCCTCCCCCAAGACCTTCTCCGGTGTGGGCGAGCTCGGGGCATCCCTTAATCTCAGTGGCCTTCAAGAGCACCTCATCGATCGTCATCTCCTGCTTCTCGATTATCGCATTGAGCATACGTGTCCTCACATGTGACTGGAGATAGCCTGACCAACCATTGAGACGAGTGAAGGCACCCCCTTCTCAAGCTCCTCAAGGATCTTCAGTCGCTGCTGGGCCTCAGGATGCTCAACCCGCTGTGTGAGGCTCTGGCCTGCGTCCCAATGATGGATCCTTCAACCAATCTGAGTCAGGCCCGCGCGTCAGCTCCCTCAGCTCGTCTTCAACTTGTGTATTGGACTCCTTCATATTCTTCCGGAGGAAGCCATCCCTGCTTCTGTCCAGCTCCATCCTTCACCTTCTCATCATCGTGCTCCGATTTAGCCTGAGCCCTCAGCTGAGCAATGCGCCCATCAACCTGTGCCGGTTGAATCATGGGTCCATTCTTCAAGCCTCCTCTTCGTATGAGCTGGGCCAGGACGGTCCAATGTAGCCCTTTCGTGGTGTTGATGGGCTGGTGTGCATGATTGCATTCCTTCCCTCTGCTGCAGCCCATGTGGGTTGCTCCGTCCCAACAGATCGGCTTACCCTCCTTGGTGCGAGGACCATGTTTCACCGAACCGACTCTGCGGCCTCTCTTGGACGGAGTCTCTTTCCAGCAGGGTAGGCCTTCTTCTCATCCTTCTCCTTTTCGCGCTTCTTCTTGTCCTTGTCACCCTTGTCGCCACCACGATCTCGGCCTCGGCTAACGCGATCATCATCGCCACCAGGTTCTCCACCTTCTAGTTCCCCATCACCAGCCACGGGATCTCCTCCAACTTTGAGCGTTGCATGATCTTTGCCACCATGTTGCATTGCTGCCAAGCCATAGGCGATCCCGTTCGTGACTAGGCACGGCCACCCGATCTGCTGCAGCTTGGCTTTCGCGTGAGAACATGCTCGCTTCAAAGCGTCAAAGAGCTCCTTGCCAGCGACATCGGGACAAACCTCCACTGTCAAGGTGTTGCAGCCTCGAGCCAAGTAGACGTCCAGGCTTTCTTCGGACCCAATGGCGCTTCTGGTTCCTGGGTTTCCTTTCTTGTCACCCTCAGTGGCCTTCCGTATTCCTTCAAGTGCATGAACCACGCGGGCGCTCATTTGGCTATCTTCCTCTTCACCTCCAGCACCAGCTCGAGTCGACGCATCCTCCACCTTGCGCGAAATGCCGAAGAGCTGCCCCACGATGCCATCATTCGAAGTCAAGGGATTGAACTTGCCAACATCTCCTGCAGGGCGAATCAGGCTGCCTTCCTCTCGCTTCTCCCCATAGTGGGCTGTGAACAACTTCTCCGGGGTGCTCGGGTTCCGTCTCTCGGACGGTTTAGATTGTTCTGGATGAACTTCAGGGCTTCCATCTTCTTTCACGCACCTTGAGCTCTGTTAGCTCATCCCCTTAAGAACTCGTTTGGCCGTCTCAACCTGCTCGTTCTGCTTCCCGCAATTCTTCCTGATGTAGGCCCTCATAGTGCTGCTGATGGTTTGCAGGTCCACCTCATAGATCATCTGGATCGTGTCAATGGCTTCCTTCTGGGTCTGCCCTGCTCCAATAGCGGTCAGGTAGGCCTCGATGATGCCTTCTCCTGTCACCTCATCTGGGTCACTGTCAGGAACGGCATCTCGATCCGCTTTCTTCTTCGCTTCATCCCTCCTTCATGGCCCTGGCTTCTGCTCCGTGATCGCGTCCTCTGTGCTCCTTGTCCTTGGTGATGGCCATCATCACGTGCACGAACATGCTTGTCGATCCGGAGCTCTGCCTCAGCAGGCCAACTCGGCCACAGTTCACCCTTGATGTAGCCTGCACTATGCTTCCTCACCAAGACCATCAACTTGTTTTTCACCTCCTTCAACTGCATGTCGTTGAGGCGTCGTCCACTCATGATGGTTCGGCCTTCCCAAGCCGTGAGGCGTTGCGTGAGGATCTCCGGCACCAAGTACCCCTTGATGTCAAGCCCAATGCATGCTGCATCGTGCGGGATCTCCTTCACCAAGAGCTGCGCTTTGGCTGGGTCCACATCTTCGATGCCCTTTGCGTCCATCATGTCCTCCAGGTACTTCGGGTCGATGACAATGGTGTTCTCCAGGTACTTCACGAAGACCTCCAGCTTGCGATCTCCTCGTACTCCGCCAGGGTTGTAGCCTGTCAGCTCTCCCATGCACATGATCCAATCGGACTGACCGTCCTCATAGTTCAACTTTAGCTTCAACCATACGGGCTTGCCCATGACGTCCTCTTGATCCAAAGCTCCTCGAGGGGGGGATGGAATCATCACCTTGCCCAAATCAACCGAGCTGGATCTCGCTGGAGCCATGCCACTCTTTCTTGACCTGCTTCTGCCTCTCCTCATCTCCAGCTTCGGATTGGTTGTTGCCAGCCTGAGCTTCAAGCGCTGGACTTCGACTGCGACTGGACGTTCTTCTGGTGAAGCGACGGCGAAAGACTTGCAACATGCCGTTTGGATGTGGGCTATCCCTAGCCCCTGCGCCCCCCTGTTCGCGCAAGTGGTCATAGCACAAGGGGACCCCATGTCG